CCTACAAACGCACCTCAGACAGAAGAAGCTACTTGGATGAGTAGTGAAACATTTGAACCTAACAAGTAATAAGTCCAGTTGCCATGACTCAGCTTCCAGATAACCTTAGCTGGATGACCGAGAATCTTCACAGGTATAATGCAATGAGTGGTTGCACTAATCCACCTTTTTAACATTTCCCTCTTTTCCTTCTGCCATTGTAGTATATGATTGCCCCTAATGCAGGTGTGATGTAGGGCTCATCTTTAATCTGCTTTCATAGTCCTAATCCTTGTTTTATTTTGGGGTGCCTGGAAGAAGGGCACATGGTCGTGCTCAAGGTGTTACTTTCCTTTCCAGTTGTTGTTGTTGTTGTTGCTTAGTCATTTAGTTGTGTCCGACATTTCATGACCCCATGGACGAGAGCACGTCAGGCCCTCCTGTCTTCCACTACCTCCCAGAGTTGGGTTAAATTTCCAGTAGTAGTGGGCAATTAAAAAAAAAAAACAGAAGCATCAGATCTGGGATGAAAAGAGAAGGTGGAACTACACCAGAGCAGTGAAACAGGATGCTTGTTGCTTAGTCATTTAGTTGTGTCCGACATTTCATGACCCCATGGACGAGAGCACGTCAGGCCCTCCTGTCTTCCACTACCTCCCAGAGTTGGGTTAAATTTCCAGTAGTAGTGGGCAATTAAAAAAAAAAAACAGAAGCATCAGATCTGGGATGAAAAGAGAAGGTGGAACTACACCAGAGCAGTGAAACAGGATGCTAACTTCTCCATACAAATGGTGGCAAATCTTCCATCCACTAGTGCATGCTGTCTTGTTGAAGCTGAGCTGAGGGAAGCCATTTTGCGGAACCGAAAAAATCATTGTATAGCGAATAAATGAAATTCACGAAGCAGGCTCCTAATCAACGTAATGTGAAAAAACCCTATTGGAACTATCGTTTTGCAATCACAATAGCGACTGCAAAAAAGTTATCGTTGTTGGCTTACCTTTTGTTGACAAAGTGGTAATATTATTATTATTATTAATACCCATTGCTGCTCATGGCCACCAGTTTTCTACTATTTTCAACTAGTCCGCAAACAGCCCTTTTTTTTCCCTATGGCTGATGAGGTTGCCAATTCCAGAACCCTTTTTGTTTCTAACAGCTGTATGGTGCACCAAAATGTTCAGTCACCCTCTTGCATCACAGAGTATCCCAGCAGTTGGCAATACATATGCTGGGCAAATTTTCTTTTTAAGTGTCTTTTTAAAGATTTAATTTATTAAATAAAATTTTTATTATGTGTTCAATTAATTTTTCTTTTACTTTGTAATTTGTTGTGGTTTTAGCCTAACTTGTTTCGATAACTGTAAGTCTATCCTCACAATGTGGCCTAGAAATGAAACAAACAAATGAACAAAATAAATAAGGATGCTAAATTTGATAGCAGTGAAGCCTTCAATGGGTTATAGAGGCAAGCTATCCACTCCAACTTGATGTGTGACTGAAATACCACTGTTTGTGGAGTAGTTCTCTTGATTTCAGGATTGACAATGCTCTGGGATGAGAAACATGATGCTTGTCTGAGTGAGAGACAGGAGAAGAATTAAGCTCCTCTGCATCGAAGGTGGATACTTGTGCTTTAGTATGCATGCATTCACCTCTGTGCAGTGAATGAATACCAGCATGCATGTCCAGTAAAGCCCCCTGCTCAGTATATATCAAGGCAATGAAGACAGTTGCTACAGCCAATCACACCAGCTTCAGAACTATCAGGACCTGAAGGGAAAGGAGATCAAAAACAAAGTTTAAAGTTTGTACTTTAATTTTCCTGGCAGAATAGTGGCAGACTGAATTTGTTTGCCTCCAGAACAGCAACCCAAAAATTAAATCCAGCAAGAACAGTTACTGTGAACCAAGAGACGACAAGTCAGCAATAGTAACAGACTGCATTTATTCAAGTATTCAGGAAAATAACAAGCGCCGACAGGTTTCAGGAAGGAGGAGCTGCAAGTCTCCCAGAGATATTTCCAAAGCATTTTCCAAACAGTAGTGTGGTAGTAAAGCTTTACAGAAAGTGCATTGCCTATGAAGATTTTTGTAGCCCTTAGTTGGTGGTCAAAGACCTATGGCTGCCCTCCCCGAGGTTGCTGTTTCTAGACTCCTCTTTTCTATCAAAGGTGTCCCAAAATCTTTATTGCACTTATAGACAGATCTGGCAATGCAACCTCACAAGTGTACAAAAAATGAAGCTGTAGGTCAGAAGACAAAATCTCCAATGGAAGCCAAGCAGTCAGCACCAGACAAGTGCTACATTAGCCACAGTTTCCCCGCATTACAGAAAAGACTAAACGGGGAAAGAAGCTTTCACTGACATTGAGAAGAGTTTGACCAAACATCATCTTTAGTTAATTCTAGCTCAAGCCAAAATGGGTTCCAAGTGTTCTTTATATCAAACATGGCAGATGAAACTCTGGAGTTCCTTTCTGCACCCCACCCCTTGCTCTGGTCATCAGATGCCCTTCGAAGACCTCCCAAGTGCATCCTAATTCTATGTGTGGTTGCTCCCACAGTCGCTCACAGGCCGTGATTGCCTTCCGCCAGTGTCTGGCATTTCCTCAGGCACAACAGATGGTTTTTGATGAAGGCCAATACCAAGGTTGATGATCATGAGCAATTGGCATTCTTACTAGTAGAAGGCAAATGGGTGGTGTAGCAGTGTGTGCAGACCCGAACTGGCTTAGGTTGCCTGAAGTGGGGCAGAGGTGCCAAGTGTGATGAGCAGCGAGAGCAGAAGATCTGGAGAAAAATAAAAGTGGACATCAAACAGGGTCAAGAAGGCTTCACGGTTTTGCAAGCCCTGCTTCATACAAGAGAAAAACACGGGCCCTGGGCCAAGACTCAGTCATCTGACTTTGGCACAGTATGGACTGAGTCATGGACATTTATAACAATATTTATTTAAGTCATTCCCTTGTGGTCAATAGGCTGTCCATAAAGGCTTCTTTTCTGCGCTTCCTGTTACAGTTCAGCTTTGAACACACCCACTTTGCCCTCCCAAGAGAGGCTAATATCTCTTAACTATCCATTTTGGCGTGGCCCTTGCTCTTGTGGTTTAAGGAGGTTTTCTTCTTAGGGGATCACCTAATCCATCCACTATCTCAAGACAAGGCACCCTATAGCTAAAGAAACCACAAGTACGGTTTGCCCAGCCATTTTGCTGCTTTTGCTTCTCCCAGAACGAAAATCTCAGCAAAGCCCAACACAGCTTCAAAGGCCTACCTTTCCACAACTCCTGCAGTGGTGACGTCGACGAAGAAAGGTGAAAGGCATGTGGCAAGCCATGCAATGACTACAAGTGCTGTCCGGCACCCAGTCTGGAGGCACCAAAAAAACCCCCCCCCCCCCAGCCAAAAAGTGTCAGCTTGTATAGAGGGCAAATGTATGGGCCCTATCTGACTACAGCAAGACACAGATATCCAGTAAATAGTGAGGCAGGAGTTTAGAGAGTTTCTAGGGCTCACAATGAACTTTAGACAAACATCATCTGCCCAAGCACTTATTGAAAAAGTGTAAAAACCCTTGAAACGTTTACACAACTCAGCATCTTGGAGAGGAAATTCCATTCTAAGGTGAAACAGGGATTCTTAGTAGGGTTTGGAGTTTACTACAAGTCAAAGACCAAAATTCCTTTTGTTATCAAGGCCACACCAGTGTCACTGGCTGAGTCTAACAGAACTTTGGGCATGTGATGAACCTTTCTTGAAGGGCAGGCAGAGATAAGTGATTCACCTCCTTCAAGCAGTTTTTCCCAGAGACAGCAATTATGCTCAGAGACCTGTAAACAGCCCACTTCACCCCCTGGGCTCTCACCTTCTATCCTCCTGCCTTCCCTGATCTGGGAGCAGAGAGCACAATCTGCCACGTCAAGGACTGCTGCAGCCACACAGACGTCCACCTCTGCAGGGGAGGGAGGGAAAAGAGAGAAAGAGAGAGAAATTTTTATAAATATTGCTAGTGCTCTTCAGCAACATGTGTTGAAATCTTTTTCGAATTATACATGTGTGCAAGAGGGATAATGTAAGTTGACACAGTTAATTGATGGTTTGCCAGATGTTATGTGGAGGCACTTGACCGGCATACATTTGACAGTTCATCATTTAACTGCAGCAATTCATACCAGCTTCTTGCACCCTCAAATAGTCTCAACAGGCTTTTGGCCATGGCTATAGCAGAGCCAGAGACCAAACACAATTTGCACAACTTAAGACTTTTTCATGTTGCAGCCATTCCCCTTTTTAAAACTAGAGAGAGGTTGAACAGCTGTATGAAAGATCTGTAACTTACTTATATGCCTCTGGTGAGGAGTGATAATTTGCAGTCTAGCACAATCTGGAGAACCACAAGTGGTTCACGCTTTTAATGGGTCAGAATATTCCATAATCTCAAAATGAGTGCAGAGTGCTAGAAATTAAGTTGTGGCTGCCCAAAGCATTACAGCATGATGACTCGAGAGGCATCGCTAAAATTACTGCATGGCAAGTTTTGACACAGCAGTTGTATATGCCTTCATCATATCCAGCCACCTGTCTCTTGTAACATTCTGCATATGAACACTAAAAAAGGGGGTATAGGTGTGAGAAAAATCACTCACGGCCTGTGTCTGACACCTCCAGGTCATCCATCCGAGATGTCACAATTTTAAAAACACTCTTCAGAATGGCACGCAGGTCACCAGCAAAGTTGGTTTGCAGCTGGTCTGCTACTCCTGTCCAAACAGAATGCAACAATCTTGAGTTATATGAATTACACAAAAATACAAGGGCAAGAGATAATAGGCGGATTTCGGTCAACAAATACAACATTCTTCCTTTTGTAGTAGGGGACAGAAGGTAGCCTCGCTGTGCATGTCAGCTAAAAATTCTTTCCATTTGGATTCTGGACCAACAAGGAAGCTATTTTTTGCCAATCTCTTTAACACATGGAATTGCTAATTAAGGTCCATTACATAGGGCTCTGAAGCAATAGAAAAATGTCGTAACAGAAATAAATATACAAAGAACTACTCTCAGCTCAAGGGCCAATTAGGAATCTAGTACAATGTCTAAGCTGAACGTGGGCATGTCCCTGTTCAGCGCTCCAGGCAAATTGCTCTCAGTCTTAACCACACATCTGGCATATGGGAGAATATACTGTTTTCCTTTACAGATTTAATCTACAACCTGGACCCTTTGCTTTCTGGAAGTCAATGAGATCTTCTAGATGACCATTCAATTCTATTGCCACAGCTATGAGCCAGATCTTCCTCAAAAGTAAAGAGAGAGAGAGAGAGAGGAAAAAGAGCAACACACTTCAACAGCTTGTTTGGGACAGCTCTTAATCTTGTGAACTATCTTTTTACTTGAACAAATCTGTTAAAGTCCAAAGTCTTCACAAAATGAGACTCCACTTCTCTTACACACTTTGAAAAAGTTCCTACCATATGTAGTGCTTGATTACTTGTCCCGTTAGTTCAAGTGAGAAGGCTTGGAGAGAATTCTGTGCTTGCTTTTTTTTTTTTTTTTTTATTATTATTTTTGCAACCAAGGGTATATTGGCCAGTGAAAACTTCCAATAAATGGAGAGAAGAAGATATGAATTAATCTCCTTAGCCAAAGGAAGTCACTAACCAGAGATGCATACAAACAATGTGTGGATCATGTCCTCTGTACTGTTGTAACGAGCTCGTAGTTCCATCCACCGGGTACTCTGTGGAATTCCCGTGGGAACTCCTACTTCAGTGCCACTAGTTTCTTGCCCAGGATACCTGTTTACAGGACAACAAACAATTAGAATATTATGTCTATTTTAATAAATATCCTCTATCACCCATTATTTCATGGGGGTGAGGAAGAGGGCCATCAGATCATCACCTGCCCAAAATAATGCCAATCAAGGAAATGCCAAAGAAAGGCAATTCCTCATAGTGTGGGTATGTGTATTATGTGTTCCCAACTGCAGGCATGATAACACTGACATTTTCAAGATAACGAGATAATAGATGGGATCCTATCACGTAAGGTTCCCTGCACAAGACTGATGTTATCAGTCACAGCAATATTCTAGAAATAAAACATTTCTGATTTCTTCTCATGGAAGTTCCAAAGGCTCCTTTTCATCATTGGGAAGTCATTGCAGGCTGCAGGGCAGGAAGGGGAGGTCTTTAATTGCTGAAAACCACCACCAGGATGAGTTTCCCATCAGTGGCAATGTTTTATTTCTGAAAAACTGCCACCTACAATGATATAAGTTTACACAGTATTGGCAAATGACAATAGGATTTCAGGCACTTCTCAAGCATTGACAGAGTTGAACCTGTTATTTTAACAGTGTCAGTTATTGCTAAGCAACACTCTGTTCCCACTCATGTTTGAAAGAGACCGCATCGGTCAAAAAGCCACAGGCCCCTTGACTGCACAGTGAAGACAGACTTTTGGCTGGTAAACCCTGCCCACATTTCTGACGCTGCCACGAGGAACCGATTCATTACTGCCAGTGTTCATGTTGACATTCTGAACAGCAGAGTCTTGTGCAGCTGACAAAGTGGGCTACAACCCGTAGAAACTTATTCCAAACAAAAGTTGCCTATTTTTCTGGTTTCATAAGATTTTTGGGCTGGTTTTACTGTAACATTAACTCAGCCCCTCACTCTCACCTGCAAGTAATGGGATTTGGGTGCAAAAAAAAAAGTGTATCTTAAGCAGACGTCCATGTCCGCTGCTTCTAGTACTGAAGTAGCCAACCAAGAGCATGAGCTTGTAAAGAGAAGCAAACACCCAATGGGAGTTGTTGGGAGGGGGGGAGGAGAGGTTCTTGGTCACACCTTGGAACTGCTGGGCAACCACAAGGACCTGCAAAGCTTTGAAGGTCCGGTGAGCCTGTGTCGCTGAAGGGCTGTGAATCTGAAGCGCTCTCATTCAGCAGACGTTTTTCCAACTTATCAAGCTCTTCTTTGGACAGGACTTGCAGCAAATCCCTGTACGGGGAAAAAAGCTCATGAATTAGGCGGCTAGGAAAGCAAGACAAAAACATCATCCTGTGGAGTGGAATGAGTAATCCAGCTTGCACAGTGCCCTAGAAGGAATCATAGAACCACAGAGTTGGAAGACACCAGGGCAGCTCCAAAGCACACTTATGGTCAGGACAGAAAGTGCAATGCAGGCTCGGGCCTGTAACCTGCAACCATGCGGGGCATCTTACTGCCTCTGTGCTCAACTCCGATGCAAACTCAGACCTTGCCCTGGGAGCATCTCACTTGGTCTTCTATTAGCCACCTATCTGTCTGCAAGAGAAAGCGATCTTCATCATCCGCAAGACCTTCCCTTCCTAAGCATTCTGTTTGGAGCTGGTCAAACTTTTCGGGCAAAGTGGTCGACCAGACCAGATGGGCGGGATATAAATCAAATAAATAAATAAATAAAATCATTTTGAAAGCAGAATTATACAAAGCTACCTTCAATAATTTATCCTCCTGAAGCTCTTAATATTTTCCCCCCTCTTGTTTTTCTTTTTTCTATTGTACGAATTTGAGATTCATATCTGTGAACTGCCCTATTGAATGTATGGTGATATAGGGATCTTGTAGGGTGGTAAACAGCCCAAAATAGTGCTGGCACTAAAGTGGCAGCATATAAACAGACAAACAAACAAGTCTGGGACCATACTGCTTTAGATTGCAAGGATGTCAGACTGCTAAATACTGTTCTTCGTCAAGGTATTACACCACCACATCTCGGAGAAGAGGAACATCAGAACCTCCTTCTATCTGGTGTGCTAGATTTCTACTTGCATTCAGACACTCAGACTGCAAACGTCAGTCCTACGTCATCTTGCATAACGTGCAGTTTGGCACCAGGCATATCCCCTCCTAGAAAGTGCCCAAACCCCTCCTTATCTGGGCAGTGTTCTAGCCAAATTCCTAAGCACCAATGTTCCTTCTTAGTCACTCACCTTATTTTCCTCAGCAAGACATAAAAAGGACTGAACACTCTGGATATCTCCTCAGGCCTCCGCTCCAGGTTCAGAGGTCCATCTGGATAGATCAGAAGACCACTGCACAAGAAAAGCAGCAAAACCAAAAACAGATAGTATAGGTCTCGCTAATGGATTGGTTTGAGGGAAAAAACCCAACACCATTTCACAAACAGTTTTGATGTAGGATGACTTTCAGCCTGTGGGGATTTGCCTTTGCTTTATACCTTCTGAGCAGTTAACTCCGAATATTTCCATAAGGGCTCTCTCAACAAAAAGCATGCAGCACCACGCCTCAAGGCGGAAACACAGTAATGCACTTTGTTCATGCCTTTAACATACATTCCCAACACAAGGCAATAATGGTAACTTTAATCACTTGCCCAACTAGCTTTCGTAGTCACCACCATCCTTTAGACAGGGTACTTATCCAATCATGATGTAACTTTTCCTCCCACAGCCTATTCTGTGCTGACACCTACTCAAATTCTCACTAGTACCTTGTTGCCCAAGAGTCAGACATCATCTTAAGAGATTTTCATCTACTGCCTGCAGAAATAGCCATGACAAAGTAGCAGAAGTACCTTCTTTCCAACGCAAGCATAACGCTTTGAAAAACCACCAATGCAATCTGCAAACTGGAGCTCTACCAATCCCACATTGCAACAATTGACTCAGTCAAGATCAAAAGTGATACAGAAATAACTTTTGACAGGCCAACAGACTAGCCTTTTGGAGAGTGTGCGAGAAACGTGGAGCAGAACACTAACCATCCATTTATGACAGCTCAGTGATTACATAAGCTACAAGGAATACCTAGAAGGCAGAACTAAGGAGGCCCCACAGGATGTCCACAGATCCACTCCTCCAAAGCAAGAAGTGTAGCCTTCTGTGGTCATGATATCCATAAGAAATACTGCAAACAGAGCATTTACACAAAAAATAATAAACAACAGCATGAAATCTTTTTTTTCACCCATAAACCCAGAGCAATCCTTAGATCCCAGAGAGTAAGGAAGGGGGGGGGAGTTCAAACCCTCTCATCCCTGCAAGATTGGATGTGGGCAGGGAAAACAATGTATGTACATGCACACACATTCCATACAGGGTTGAACCAAGAAGGCTTGTTGCATAGTGAGCTATATAAATTATGAAGTATGACAGAAGCCATGGCAAATAGGGTCACACCTGCTTAGTTTGTAGAGAAAAAGGATTCCACACATTGGACTCTGCTCTGTGCCAAAGGAACATACCGTAAAAACTTCAACAGAGCAGGGAGCCCAAGACAAAGCTGAAGTAGTAACAGCTCCATTTACACCTGCAGTGGGGAACATCTACAGGTATGTGGGACATAGGCTGCCCAGCTGCCTTGATCCCATATTTCACTTTAAAATGAAGTGTGGAGAAAGAACTCACCTTGTTTTTCAAGCAAACTTTTTTTTTCAGGTGTGCGATCTGGTTTACAAAAAGGGTGGCTGCTCTCTATGCATTTTGTTTTCAAGTGAAGTCACACTGTGTGTCTTTGTTTGCCACAACTGCAACTGCCGAAATTTTACGGCAGCAGGTGATGTACTGTATTTGGCACATGCACTGGATGTTGCTCACTCAATTTATGCTGTGTGACTGAACTCCAATTTATTCTGCTAAGAATATATGTCTGTCTTCTCAACTCTGACTCTGGAACTGGCATGTCACACATTTTGAAGCTCTGGGCCTATGATATTCTATGTGACTGTAAGGATCTGACAGCCACAAGAGAATGAGTAAAAAAGCACATACCTAATGATGGCCAGGCGGGGGATGGTGAACATCAATTGTGGCTCGTACCCATCAATCATCTCCTGAGTGATGTAACCAAGTTTCAGAGCTCTAGATGAGAGACGAAGGAGTACAGAATGAGAAACAAGGAGGGGAAAGCTCTCAAAATACCACACCAGCAAAATAAATAAATAAATAAATAAATAATCGTCATCATCCCAGATGGGAGCTAGATCAATATTCCCATAACAAAAAGGAGTTTGGGCAGGTTTGCTTCACAAAGCATGATTTTAAGCTGTCCCAGCAATAGATATTGCTTGTGTAAAACAGAGATCCTGACAAGAGACCTTGGCAGAATCCTTACCTGGCCACCGTTTCAGAGAAGAGTACAACAATCTCTTGCTGCTTATAAATGTCTTCAGGTGACTTCACGGAGACTAAAGATGACACGTAGCTGGAAAAGAGGGAAACTCTGAAACTCCTTTCAACCCTTTTATCTAGCACCTGTTATGCAAGAAAACCCCAGAATATAGCCCCCACACTTCCAATTTCTGTTTGCAGCTAACAATAGGTAGCATACACCTATAACAGTGCTGATCCTGTTCAGAGACTCCTGTCGCCATCCCAAAAGCCACTTTGAGTCCAGCTAGGATACTGCTTAATACTGTTCCCTTAAATCAAAAGAGCAGCAGTTAGAATTGCTAGCCGTGTGCTCACATAGCACCACTTTCTGTCCTGTAACTCAGTTGAACATACATTATCCAACAGGAGGCCAGTGGCCTATGATCCTGTTGCTACATCTTGGGCCAGAATACTAGAAATAAGAACTCAGCTACCATGCTGGATCAGAGTGACATCCTGCCCAGTCCCACAGGAGTTACCTAGATGCCTCTCTCTGGGAAGCCCCAAAGCAGGAAAAATACTGGTCAATACAAAACAAGCTTACCACATACCTCAACTCAAACTCAGCAAAAAGCGTATCAAAGCGGATCAATGCCCTGCAGACAAGGTCCGAATAGGGCCCAGGTTGGTTCAGACTTTGCTCCCGGAGCACCATGCGCACCAACTCTAGGCTGCACAGTAGATCCTTGGCCAGAGGTCGCAACCGTAATCCATCTGCTTCATCCACATCAATATAGGTGTGTGCCATCAGACACTGAAAATAGAGAATGTGTTGACAGCTCAAAAAACACTCCCAGTCCTTTGGCAGGCCACCACTCTATAAAGTTATTTCCAGGCTAGGATGAGCACGTTGGCAAATTCCAGGAACAGTCCCAGGTTACATCCCAGTAAAGAAGCAAACAACATTCTCCAGTGGTTCAAAGTCATCCACTCAATCACAACTTAGGATAATAAAAATACAAGGGTTCTAAGCCATGACTAGTGTAGAAGCAGAAAGGCACCACCTGGCAAAGCATTACAGCAAGCCCCATTTCACCCCTTCACATCTGAATGCAAACTGACTAAGAATACAAAGCAGCCTACACGCTCCCAGTCCCTCGGCTAACCTCGGCAGCAAACAGCATGTGGTTTCGGAGACTGTCCACCAGAAGTTCTTCAGGGAACTTGATTACATAATCACGACTGTGACGTTCCTTGGGGATGCACTCATCCATGATCTTCTCTACGATGGCCAGCAGATCAGCCTTGCAAAATTAGAAGAGAAAGTATGATTCTCAGCACAAACACATTCCATTGATACTCAGGGTGTTCGCAGACAGGAGATCAATCCCTCCAAATGTATTATAGAAGGGGAAGGGAGATTTTGGCATGTTCTTTACCAGCATCTCCTCCAAAAGAAGAACTTAGCGTTAAGGATTTAGGCAGACAGAAGAAAAAGTCGAATGGTCCTTTATTTCCTGTCGACAGGAGGTAGGGAAACCAAGCAAAATGAAGACACCAAACTACACATCTCCTTTTGCCAGGAGTGCCCCCATATTCCACCCCTTCCCACTTGCAACTGAGAGGTAGATGCTTACTTTTCAAACAGAGGGAATTATCTGCAAAAATAGCAATGGTGTGCTGCCCCTGAGGAGGCACCATATTTTCACAGACTGTTAAGGATCAATATAGGAATTATGACCAACAGCACTATAAAGTTACTATTGTTTGATGGCATCAGCCAGAAATATTACTATAGAAAGAAAGGTGACATACAGGGAAAAACGGAGAGTATAATTAGACTAATAAAGACCGTGCTACTTTGCTGCTGAGACACCTGTGTGAATGCAATTTAAGGTGCAGCTTGGATAGGATGGAGAAGCAGAATTGCTGTATGCAATGTCTGTGTTTCTCCCCCTCTCCAAATGGGGGTTGATTCCCTTCACACAGGTTCACTAGGTGAACAATAGAAAATGTTTGCACCTTGGGATCAATGCATAATGGAGTGGGTGGGGTGTCTGTTCCTCTTGTCTTTCAACACTGCACTTTAAAATTCCACCCCTCATCTTCTGATCCATGAACTTCAACCATATCTTCTAGCATGGCCCCTGCGAGAAGAATACTTTACCTGACTAAGATGCAACTGGTTTAGTAGTGCCAGGTATTGCTGAGGATCTGTCTCTACATCCAGACAGTTGATCTGCGTTACCACCTGAGTCACTCGTTCATCAGCATAGAAAAACTGTGACAGCAACCTGGAATCAGAACGCTGAGCAAACAACAGAAGATGGAGATCATTCAGAATTGTTCCTATGAGGCACTGGAGCTCACAAACAGAAGACAAATTAGCAGCCATATTTCAGGAACACACCACTTTGGACTGCAGGTAAGGGATTGTGTGACTGAATGCACCATGATACATATAAATTCTGACACAACCACACACACCCCAGTTATGAGAAGAAATGTTAGCCTAGGTTTCTCCCCTAGCGTGCCTATAGTCGATGTGCACAATTTTTTTTTCACAGATGAAGGTTCAGTCATGAATCCCCACATGCAATCTGAAAGGGTACAGTCTAAAAATATGTTTATTGCCTCATGGTGACTGTCTTAGATACAACTGCTGCAATCACTTGCAGAATGTTTTGTAGAAACAGCTTTGGGAATTTTGGTGGAAATTAACTATTTAAAAATTTGCAGTTGAATAATTAGGTGCTGAAATGCCCACTTACTAAAATGCTTAGTTCAGAGGAGAGAACATTTATAACAGGAGACAGACATAAAGTTGGTTCAGGAACCCATCTAGCCCAGCAGCCATCAGTTGTTTCTATGAGGTTCATGGTAGGAAAAACATCAGGTCCTTTCTGCCGCACCTCCCCCCATATCGTCTTTGAGTACAGAGGTCATTTAGCTATCATAGGTAATTCCTGTTGATAGATCTATCTTCCATCTAATCCCACTTTAAAGCCATCTGAGCCCACAGGCATCATCACATCTTATGGCAGTAAATTCCTTAAGTTAATTATATGTTGTGTAAAGACGTCTATTACAACTTCCCAGATGACATCAGAGCTGCATTTTCAGTATGGGAAGGTAGAACAGGGAGGAACTTTGAATGTTCAGACATTGTACACATCTTAAAGCAATATCTTTTATGGCAATCCATCACAGAATATATTTAAGTTGATCCTGAATTATCACAACTAGTCAGGCAGGTAGGATTTAAGCCAAGAGTAAAATAGAAGTCACATCCAGCTCAGTGAGGCATACACTTACACACTTGACCAATTCTGTGCAATTCAGATTTGAAGAAAAAGAATAAAAAAACTTTTCTAGATGAAGAATGCTAGTGTGCCCCTCAAGGCTTACATTGCACAGCCAGGAACAGCAGAACTTGTAGGCACCAAGAATCCCTTTGAAATATGGAAAGGAGAGAGATGTGCAAGGACCCTCAGGGGGCAGATTTAGACTCTGCAGCCTAACATTCCCCACCCCTGTGATAAATCTGCATTGATGAGTTACTTCCTGTGACTTCCAATGAGTCCTAGAGACTATTTTTATGGTAGGACAGTTAAATTGGCTTGTGTGTAGTACATACATCTCCTTAAGACATGCAAATAAACACTTGTCTGATTGCCTATGATAAGTATTCATTCAAATTTAGTTAGCCAGGCAAGTAAGCTATAAATGCTCTGTTTTCCTTCAGGTGGTTAACATGGGCCAAGCCAGAAACTACACAAGTTTTCTGGTCTTATTTACCTAGAAGGTGCTAGACAGCAGATATTGAATGTCTTAGCACAAACACTTCTTTATCTATTTTCCTTTTTAGCAGAATTAGAATAAAAGAGGTAGAGTTAATCCCTGGGTAGACCAACATCCAACCTGCTTGCTTCTGGCTCTACTGATTGGTAGGGATTGTGTGTATGTTCTGTGCCACCTTACAGTGACCTTAACAGGGTTTTCTAGGTAAGTGAGATAGTTAAGGCATGGTTTTTACCAGTTCCACTCCCTCAATATGGCCAAATGGGGACTTGAACACTGCTTGCCAGAGACCTAGTCCATCACTCTATCCTGTCTACACCACACTGAGAATCTCTGGTGGGGATTACTAATGGCTATATTCAAAAATGGCCCTCCATCTGATTTCAGATCTCAAAAACCACACCCAGCAGGGCTAGTTGTGAAGCATTATGGAAATTGTAATCCAAAGCATCTGGAGGGCTCCCCATCCCTGGGATAAGTGATTCTCAATCTTTGCACCAAAGAGGATGATGACTGTGCTAGAAAGGGGTAATATAGACACAAAGCAGTTCATGATCACACAGCTAGGAGTTGCTCCATCATAAAAATTTGGGTTGAGTGCCGCCGCCCCCCCTTGGACCACGAGTTACCCATGCTTCTATGCATATTGGCTTTTAAAGTTCCTAACCCAGCAAATCTCTCTCTCTCTCTCTCTCTCTCCAGTTCACGCATGTAACAAAATAGACTTTTGCCTAAGCACATTCACATAACTTCAAAAATCCAATTATTTAGAAAGGGCCTCAGTATGGCATCCTTTTGCTGCTATAGATTAACCCAGTTACTCCTCCAGAATTACAGGTGTTTAAACATTCACAAATACTTGTTTATTAAAATAAGGAATGCAGTACTAACTCTTAATTGTGATTCAATCTGCCTTCTGACTGATCAAGGGGCTGACACAATGCTAACTACAGATAATTTCTCAGCAAAAGTCACTAATGTGAAATTCAGGACAATGCTATAACCAGATGTTTTTGCCTGTATAAATGAAGCTTACATATGTCAGTACAGAGCTGGACAGATTGGAGTCCTCTGTAATGAACCCCATTCATGCTCAAAACAAATAACTCTGTCAAAGAGTTGTAACTAATACAGCTCATTTTCAAATTTCCTTGCAAGTAACATGGTAATTACTTCCTACAGTGTCAAGCCAGCCATATATCACCCGGCCAACTCTTTAAAATGTCCTAAGAATTACACAGCCACTCCCCACCCATTATGGAAAAAGTACCATCTTCTATTAGGCAAAGCAGAGTTTTCCTGCTGAAAGTGGATAAGACCAAGTAATGCCAGTGGTACAGATTAAAACTGCGACTATATTGTACTGGCAAGCTGAACTAGGGCCATTCAGCTTTGCTGCAGCTTGATTTACAGCCTATTTCATACATCTATTTGGATTAAGTGATCACATGGAGATGAGGATTGTTTTGGTGCCAGTGTCTACACTGGCTACTCAATCTGATGTGATTCAATCTGCGCCACAGCACCTCCTCCTTAAATCCCTCCCAATCCCAAACTCTCCTTTTATGGTTCATTGCAATCTGATGTGATTCAATCTGCGCCACAGCCCCTCCTCCTTAAATCCCTCCCAATCCCCAGCTCTCCTTTTATGGTTCATTGCAGAGTGTTGCATGGTGCTAAGGAAAAGGGAAGTTTTCCAAAGTTCTCCATAATATACAGTCACATATTGTGGAAACAGTAGTCTTCTGTAGTTTGTTAGAACTGTTTCTATTTCATATTGATTTTTTTAAATTTTTTGTCTGTCTTGAGGTGATCTAGCACAACACAAGTATATCAATGTACTGATAAGGTGATCCAGTGCTAAACTTGGTAGTTTTTTTTTAAAAAAATAAAAATACTTTGGGGGGTGAATATTTATTTGTTTATTTTTTATTTTCCAGCTTTTACCCCATCCGTCTAGATTCAACGAATCTACCCTGGGTGGCTTACAGTCCAACTCTAAAACAAAATTAAAACAAACAAACAATATCAAACATCATAGAGATAGGCAAAGTCCAAGACAGTAAGATATAGGGAACTAAGAATTGGAAGGGGGGAAAGCCTGCCTGAAGAATAAAGTCTTCAGCTTGTTCTTAGAAACTCCCAGCGAGGGTGCCAGGCGAATCTCAAGGGGCAAGATGTTCCAAAGATGAAGGGCCACCACCAAGAAGGCCCAATATCTAGTTCTCTCCTTCCGGGCCTCTCTCGGGGTCAAGCCCCTCAGCCACCCAGCCTGTCTAGATTGAGTGATATGAGTAGAGCTAGGTGGGAACAGGCGTTCTGTCAGGTATCAAGGTCCTAAACCGTTTAGAGCTTTATATGTAAGCATTAATACCTTGAAGTCAATGCGGAAATGAATGGGCAAGCAGTGTAAGGCTGCCAGAGTGGGGGAAATGTGATGGTATTTTTTCACCCCAGTTAATAATCTGGTGGCTGTGTTCTGGACCATTTGTCGTTTCCACATCAATCTCAAGGGCAAACCCATGTAGAGAGCATTACAGTACTGTAGTCTAATCTCAAGATTATGAGTGCATAGACCAGAGTGGTGAGCGCCCCAACATCAAGATGGGCACAGCTGGGTAAACTGAGGAAGATGCAGATGGGTGGTGTGGACCACAGACGCTACCTGGGACTCCATGGTAAGCACTGGGTCAAGATGAATCTCCAAGCTGCGGACCACACTCTTTGAGGTGAGAGTCACCCCGCCCCCCAAAAAAGAGAGGGAACGTCCCAAACCACTGGAGGGGTGCCCACCCTCAAGACCTCTGTCTTGTCCAGGTTCAGGCTCAGTCCATTCTCCTGCATCATTGCAGTACAGACCCCAGGCAGTGCTCAAGGGACTAGGGAGAAGCACCTTGAGGGTGGGTGTTACAGCTGTCCAAAATATTACACCCAGTTTTGTACGTCACCAGAAAACCACCCACAGTCACACACCTCTATCCTTTGGAAAACAAAACAACTTATCTCATGGGGAAAAGTCTATTCAAATCACTCCAGCTTGAAAAATGAAGATGCCCCCATTAACAGAAAGAAAAAACTCCATGTTGGGAGCAAAAAGGACGGGACTGATTCAAATTGGCCTTTGAATTATGTAAGTTTTTAAAAAGTGAATTCATCCATTTTACACCTGCAGCAAATCCCACAACATTTGACCATGTAGTCACAGACTAAAATCCCTGGAGATTCTTTAAATGTTATATTTGTATCTAGAAAGGGCCTTCAGAGGTTGTCAAACAGATACATTAGCACCACCATTCAGTAAGAAACTCCTTTTCTCCTTCCAAAGTGATGCAGAAAAACAGAAAAGCCAGACGGAAAAGGCAAAAGAAACCAGGAATCAACATCAGGCTGGATCACATAAACAGGAGTGACGTGGGATCATTTTCAAATTGCTGACTTGCTAGTGGTTTTGTGCAGAGCTAACAGAAGGGTGAAATCATACAGACACCTCAGGATGTGCACACACAG